AATGTCTACGATTTGATAAGAAACGGTAATAATCTATGTTCCTAAACATGACATTACATTCATCAAATATCTTAACAAGTTTCGCACGAGATAAACAATGCTATTTTAGTGTTGAACATTTAATTTTATTACGTTATAAATAGCCAAATTGCACACGTAGAGCCATTTCATTTTTCTGTGTGTTTAGCCCTGAAATGTGATCTTCAATTTATTAAAGAGTTGTTTTTTGTTGTTTTTTTTATAATCTTATTTATATATTATTTAACATCTGCCCATTGTACGAGTATCATTACATACTTGAACATTGTTTTTGCTTTTAACTAAATCAACTGATCTGTCTCAAAGTAAATTTAATAAAGATTTTCCCACTAAGCTTATCATGTTAAAGGTATATTCTCTCAATATGAATGAAAAAGCAACACAAATATGATCTCGAATGCGACTTCTTGAGTTATTTGTCTGATCACACACAATACTGTTAAAAATTTTCTATCAATACAACATTTATTTACCTTAAACACATTTTAAATGTTACAGTTTACAATGTAAGCAGTGCATTTCAAGAGGGTATTTCCATTTAAAACACCATGTTTTCAAATATTCTCACACAAAACAGGGTTATTAAGTTTGCAGAATAAAAAAGAAGTAAATGATTAAAAGATATCACATGCATTTTAATAACTACATCCATGATATAAATTCATATCAATTATATTTAAAATGTAATAAAGAGAAAAGTAAACGATATATTCAATTGCAGCTCATAAGTGTTGAAAATTCAGTACCGCTCAAGCCGGTAATTGGGGGCAAAAGAGATGTTTAACTTTTTTCTTAATCCTTCATGTACAGATGCCTCCGATAGATCACACTTTTCCAGATTTTTGTTAGTAATTAATTACTTACGAGTTAAATGTACGTATCAAACAAAGAAAATTATCAAATTGATACCTTATGAACGCCCAAAACGGCTAAATTGAAAATGTTGCATATTTTGTAGGACTGCGCATATTCATGGACGAAAGTAGAAAAATGCAACCTACCGCCCATGCCCTTTATCACCGGTTTAAAAAAGATCACACAAAACACCTACATTATCTAAAGAATATGCTATGTGAACAAAACGAGAAAGATATATAAGGTTTATGTGAACGAATAAACAGTTACATTTTAATGTCAGACCCTTGGTCATTTGTTCTTGTACCGTGGTAAATGTCACTTCAGTCAGCATATGGTCAATCATTTGAGTCCACATGCTTTAATTGACCACTTAATGTTTTGATTCTACTACCAATGATATACGTGCAGTCCTTGTTTACTGGACACTTGATTGGTACATTAGAACTGTTAAACAACGTTTCGATAAACAACAATATTAATGTCATTATGATAAAGCATGAAATATTTTGCTGTGCTTTTTGCACTTTTATCTCCAGGTGGAGGCAGAAATTATAACAGTTATACCAATCAGTTCATAATGGTGATTTGTGTTTCTCCTTTTAGAAAAAAAGATTATTTTGTTTTGAATTTAAAAAAACCCAACAATTTCAGTTAATGCTGTCTAATGTTTGTTATTAATTTTTCATTGGCATAGTATTCTTAAATTTAACATTTTGTCACAAATACTTATTATTTGTTCAATTAAATAGACAATTAGGAATTAATCAACTGACGATTTGGGTGACTAAAGGTAACCTAAAATGTGATGCATTTCACAGAAAGGAAGATGAAGTGCTAAACGTGCTAAAAATAATTTAGGGACTACTGGTCATGTGGGTAGAAATCCCGTCAGAGGAAGTTCTTGTTTCCTATAGCAAGAAACTTGACACTCATTGCTACGTAGTGGATCCAGAAAGTTCTAACGACAAACTGGACACTGTTTATATGTTTATAGGCTTACATCTTTCAACACAATCGAAATAAAATTCATATTTAATAAACATTGTTATGGCAAATAAAAAGAAAAACACTTGTAGCAGTTTCAGCAAATAACATTTTATAATCATCCCCATTCTTACCACGCTTTATATCTAAAATGGACTTGTTCATATTTCAGTCGATTAGAAGTTGCCTTTCAGAGTTGAGGCATTAGAATTGCCACCGTTTATTCCTGCGTGATCGCGAGTTTATGCATGTCTTAGCTCTTGCAGGTGAGATGCTGTTGACCCCTGGTGTTACTGTAAGTTTGCTACACCCGAGGTTAGCCAAAAATCATCTTTCTTGTGATCTTATGTGTGTTGGTGCTCCGAAAAAAACAACACAAACACACCCAAACAGCCTCGACCATTTGTCACTATTAAGGATAAGTTTCAAAATTTGCAAGCAAACAGTGCAGAACATGATAAGACGACATATACATATCCGCTGATATTAGGCTGTACTGGTCACATGTGTAAATGCAATTGTCAAAAGACAGTCTAGGGGTTAATTTCACTCTTCCAGTAAACTGCCAATAAAAATATTTTTAAAATTATGTTACAAGCACGGAGTGAACCCTAAAACCTTTTAGCTTTTAGATGAACAATAAATTCCATAAAAGTGATGAATGCATCCTGTAACAAATAGAAATTCTATTCAATGCATTAAATGTGTTTGTTAGACTTTATATTATGAATCCAAAAAGAACAACCACACGCGTACATTCAGTTATTATGTCTCCCCCACCTCGGGGGGGAGACATATTGTTTTTGCCCTGTCCGTCCGTCCGTCAGTCCGTCCGTCAGTCCGTCCGTCCGTCAGTCCGTCAGTCCGTCCGTCCATTCTTCGTTTCCGGACGATAACTAGAGTTCCTTTTGACCTACAGCCCTCAAACTTCATAGGATGATTGGTCTTATAGAGCTGATGATCCCTATTGTTTTTGGGGTCAGTAGGTCAAAGGTCAAGGTCACACTGACCGTTGGTCAATTTCTCGTTTCCGGATGATAACTAGAGTTCCTTTAGACCTACAGACCTCAAACTTCATAGGATGATTGGTCTTATTGAGCAGATGATCCCTATTGTTTTTGGGTCAGTAGTTCAAAGGTCAAGGTCACAGTGACCGTTGGTCAATTTCTCGTTTCCGGATGATAACTAGAGTTCCTTTTGACCTACAACCCTCAAACTTCATAGGATGATTGGTCTTATAGAGCTGATGATCCCTATTGTTTTTGGGTCAGTAGGTCAAAGGTCAAGGTCACAGTGACCGTTGGTCAATTTCTCGTTTCCGGATGATAACTAGAGTTCCTTTTGACCTACAGCCCTCAAACTTCATAGGATGATTGGTCTTATAGAGCTGATGATCCCTATTGTTTTTGGGGTCAGTAGGTCAAAGGTCAAGGTCACACTGACCGTTGGTCAATTTCTCGTTTCCGGATGATAACTAGAGTTCCTTTAGACCTACAGCCTCAAACTTCATAGGATGATTGGTCTTATTGAGCAGATGATCCCTATTGTTTTTGGGGTCAGTAGTTCAAAGGTCAAGGTCACAGTGACCGTTGGTCAATTTCTCGTTTCCGGATGATAACTAGAGTTCCTTTTGACCTACAGCCCTCAAACTTCATAGGATGATTGGTCTTATAGAGCAGATGATCCCTATTGTTTTTGGGGTCAGTAGGTCAAAGGTCAAGGTCACAGTGACCGTTGGTCAATTTCTCGTTTCCGGATGATAACTAGAGTTCCTTTTGACCTACAGCCCTCAAACTTCATAGGATGATTGGTCTTATAGAGCAGATGATCCCTATTGTTTTTGGGGTCAGTAGTTCAAAGGTCAAGGTCACAGTGACCGTTGGTCAATTTCTCGTTTCCGGATGATAACTAGAGTTCCTTTTGACCTACAGCCCTCAAACTTCATAGGATGATTGGTCTTATAGAGCAGATGATCCCTATTGTTTTTGGGGTCAGTAGGTCAAAGGTCAAGGTCACAGTGACCGTTGGTCAATTTCTCGTTTCCGGATGATAACTAGAGTTCCTTTTGACCTACAGCCCTCAAACTTCATAGGATGATTGGTCTTATAGAGCAGATGATCCCTATTGTTTTTGGGGTCAGTAGGTCAAAGGTCAAGGTCACAGTGCAGTGGGGGAGACATGCGCTTTTTTACAAAAGCATCCTCTAGTTTTTTTAATATTCAAATCGATTTCGAACAAATATGTTCTTCGTCAGTGAATAAACAGGAAGTGAATAAACAGGAAGAGACGTCACATGACGTCAACGTCCGAGATGGCGGGAAACATACATTGTTACGTTACGTTATATTAAATTTCATTAAAAATTAATAAAGTTAATAAAGATTTCGATATATATATATTAACATTCACGGATTATGAAATACAAGTATTTCCTATATAAAATATATAAAAAACAATAATAGGAAACAACGTGAATGTTACGTAACGTGTATACATGCATAAAACAGATGAGATATGATATAGGAAAAAGTTTATAAACATTAATAATGGAATGTCTACGCAAAAGAACTTACGGAAAAATTAAATGTCGTATATAATTTTTGCATTTAATCCAGATGGTGAAAACGTCTTAAGCTTATGAATCCAGTAGGTTTCTCTACATAGACGCTCCATTGTGTCGCTGACAATCTCAAACGGTATAAATGAAAAGTCATTAAATGAATGATCAATTGAATTAAAATGCGTTGCAACAAGAGTTGAAAACGCTGGATCTTTGAAATTTGTAATATCAAATTTATGACTATTCATTCTACGTGAAACCGGTTGAGATGTCTGGCCAACATATTGCATATTGCATTTTTGACAGGAGATTAAATAAATAACATTATTTGTAGAACAGTTTGTAGGGTTTCTCAGTGTATATTTTTCGCCTGTGACACTGCTTGCAAAAGATACATCCGAATAATTCGATTACAATGAGAACGTCTACTTCTGCTACAAGGAGAAGAAGAATGAATTGACATTTGCTTTGAAAAGCTAGAATGCACAATATGATCACGGATATTTTTGGGTCTCTTAAACGCAACAATAGGTTTGTAAGTCTCAAAAACATATTTTACAGTTTCACTTTTTGACAACTTTAGTAAGTCCCAATATTTGTTTAAAACGTGACCAATGTTAGGAAGATGAGGATTATAAGTAACAACAAATGGTATAACAAAATTAGATTGGCTACTTTCTGTGAGTCGCAGTGCCTCATTTTGACTCATAGAATTAATTTTCTCAAATGCATTGTCAATTACTTCTTTCGGGTATTCACGTTTCAGAAAAAAATCTTTCAAATCAACTAGAGAGTCCTCGAATGTACTGTCATCAGATATTATTCTGCAGTAACGCTTGCCTTGACTGTATGGTATACCATTCTTGCACGCTTTTGGGTGACAAGAGGTATAATGAAGATACTGATGATTATTAGTGTTTTTCACGAATATGTTCGTTGAAAGAGTGCAATCATTTTTGGAAACACGCACATCAAGAAAATCAACACATGAACTGGAAATGGTTTGCGTAAACTTAATCGTCGGATGAAAATCATTTAGATCACGAATGAAATTTTCGAGTTCCTCGCGAGTATCGTCCCAGATTAGAAAAATGTCATCCAGGAAACGTAGCCACAGTGTCGGTTTGATATTTCGTGACTCGATAAAGTCCTTTTCCAGTTTCCCCATGAACAGGGAGGCATATGCTGGCGCCATAGATGATCCCATAGCAGTACCGCACGTTTGCGTGAAAAACTCATTATTAAATTCGAAAATGTTATTTTCAAGAACTATCCGTATAAGATTAGAGAGCACTGGTGTTTGTAAATTATGATCACTATTTCCTTCATTTAGAAAATATTCACATGCTTTTATGCCGTCAGAGTGCGGAATACATGTATACAGTGAAGATACATCCATTGTAACTAATAATGAGTCTTTGCTTTTCAACTTCACATTTTTAATTTTTTGAATAAAATCCGTCGTATCTTTAATGAAAGATGGGAGTCGGAACATATACGGTTTTAATATGCTATCCAAATATTTTGAAATATTCTCAGTCGGTGAATTACAGGCGGAAACTATAGGTCGACCCGGATATTTTAACGGAAGATCAGCATTCGGTTGTTTATGCGTTTTTGGAAGAACGTAAAATGACGGTGTGCGACATTCATTAGGAAAAACGTCGAATTCGTGGTCAATAGCATTGTTTCTCTCAGTTAGTTCCTCTACACATTTGCTTATATTTTCTTGAATGTTGATCATTGGATTATAACTCAATTTTTCGTAGAATGCGTCATTACCAAGTTGGCGTAAAACTTCATTTTTATAGTCTTTTCTATTCATTATTACTATGGTATTTGATTTATCTGCCTTTTTGATAATAATGTTTTCGTCACGGGATAACTTCCAGAGACTTTGTCATTCCGTTTTTGATATATTTGAGAAACGTTTATTTTTGTTTTCGCAATGAAGAATTTCTTCTGTGACCGCGGTTTTTGTTTTGGAATATTGTTCTGTGGGCGTTGTTCATTGTGATTTTTTTGTGTTTTCTTAGCTCTTTTCTTCTTCTTAGAAGTCGTCGCTTTGGGTTTTCTCAGTAATCAACGGCTGAGTATTTGAAACATTTTCTTTCAAAAAATTCAATTTCTTTGCATGTCTTTTTTCTATTGTCGTTCTGGATTTCTCGATCGAATCACTTATTTCTTTGTCAAGGTTATCCAATTGTTCATTATCTAAGTCTTTTTCTAGATCTGCTCGCAGTTTTTCCATCTCCGATGTCAGTTCATTTGACCTTCTCATATGATCTTCTTTGATCATCTCGCAGACTTCAACACTTACTCTATGGAGAAGGGAGTCTACTTTCTCCTGCAGTTTGTTTGACGTGCCGCCGACGGCCAGTTTGAGTTTAAGTGACAGTCCTTTTGGGATTACGTCCTCGGCTCGGCAGTTTTGAAGAAACTTTACGTGGAGAATTCCTTTCATCTGTTTAGTTGCCATCTTCTTCAATTGAAGTTCGCGTGGATCTCTAGTAGATGCCATGTTGTTCTTAAATATTATTAAATATGAATCCAAAAAGAACAACCACACGCGTACATTCAGTTATTTTTTTAATATTCAAATCGATTTCGAACAAATATGTTCTTCTACAGTGAATAAACAGGAAGTGAATAAACAGGAAGAGACGTCACATGACGTCAACGTCCGAGATGGCGGGAAACATACATTTTACGTTACGTTATATTAAATTTCATTAATTTTTTTTTTTTTTTTAAACTTTATATTGTAATAAATGTCCGGATGATCAGCAATATAGATGGGAAATTTAACTATTTAGGTGTTAAGCTAATTGCATTATATTCCTCATAACGTTTATAGAAGGCGTTGTTCATTTATTACTTTTACGTTTGTTCGGAAAATAACACGGATTGAAATTAATGTAAAATATTTTGTTTGATCTTTGATGAACGCGTTGTAAATAAAGTGCATGCAAAAACGAAAGAACCATAACAAAAATATATTGCAGTTATTGACAGATTTAATTAAGATAATAAACAACGGAAGTCAAACTGAGAGTGAAGTTCAATTAGAAGTATTAATGAAATGTAGCCCCCATAACATCTTTTCGCCCCTTTTATTGGTTTTCAACTGGAATAATGTGTACATTAGTTAATAAAATAATTTGTTGTTACTTCAACAAAGAGCCTTTAAATCAAGCATAAAATGTCAATCTGACTTAAGTTCAGATCTTTTTATTTATTGCTTGTAAATCTGATTGCCAGAAAACTATTTTTAGCCATGCAATCACCGTCCTCTACGGATAATCATTATCCTAAGTATTAACATAAACATTTTTTTGATTTTTATAATATAAGAAAAATATGTTTACAAATAAAGTCGAAATAATAGACTCAATTTTTAATTGATAAGATTGTTCTGCCAGTTTTCCTGCTGGTTATATGAACAACGCCATGTTTGTTCTCGAAATCGTGAAAATTACCTACACAGTATTGGTTTTTCAGAGGTTAAACTAAGAAACCGCATCGCTTTCAAATTCCAAAAGCTTGTCAATAATTGGCTGTCTTGACAGGTGACGAGAAGGTGACAACCATTTGGTGGTCGTCAGATCCTAATGCACAGCGTTGATTAGGAGCTGATTTTAATCAGATTAGTTTTGTTAGACAAGATACGATATTGTGACAAACGAAAACTATAAAACAAACATTGTATTCCACTTATAAATTTACAATTAAAAATCTCATCGGGAAATACCACGGCATCCCCATAACAGCTACTAAGCCGTGATATGCTAATTAGCGCGCTGGGTAATATGAAATTTTGCTTAAAATCAGTAATATCATACCCGCGAACTTGACTAGCTATTGGAAAACAATTATATATTTTCTATCTTTTTATCTTTTTTTATTGCGTGTCACTTTACCTCATACATGTAACAGTTAGGGATTGCGACCCAATTTCCGTTTCAAAGTACGCAAAGCAAGAAAAGAATTAAAGGGTTTATACATGTCTGTGATGTCTATATGAACTAAGTACTTTGCATTTAATGTCCAGTGACAATATGCTTTTGGCATAGTGAAAAAATACAAATACACATGTAAGAGCTTTAAAATGTTTTAAAAGAGTTATGGAAATTGCAAGGAAGGCGGATTGAGGAAGGGAATAATAATTGTTTAATAATTGAAACACATGTCCTATCTTACACGTTATCATCTTCACGGAATTCAGACACATTGACTCCAAACCTTCCTCGGTGCCGTAAATGCATTCATTTTATTAGCTCGACTATATGAAGTATATGGAGAGCTGTCATACTCGCCCCGGCGTCGGCGTCGATTTCAGATTAACGTTTTGGTGCAGTAAATATTTTTCACTATAACTTTGTCATTTCTTAAGGTATCAACTTCAAACTTCAGATATATGTTCCTTATCATCAACCACATATTATGTGATAAGGTTCATAACTCTAGCACCAATATTTTTAGATTTATCACCCCTTGAACTTAAAATTTTCCTTAAAAAATACTATTTTTACTGTAACTTCTTTATTTCTTAAGGGATCAACCTGATACTTCAAATATATGTACCTTATCATCATCCCCATCTTATGTGACAAGGTTCATAACTCTAGCACCAATACTTTCAGATTTATCTCCCCTTGAACTTAGAATTTTTTTTTAAATATTATTTTTTACTGTTACTTATTTATTTCTAAAGGGATCAACTTCATACTTCAAATATATGTACCTTATCATCATCCACATCTTATGTGACAAGGTTCATAACTCTAACACCAATGTTACAAGAATTATCTCCCCATAAACTTAGATTTGTTTATTAGAAAAATGTTATTTTTTACTATAACCTTTTGAGTTTTAAAGGTATTTACCTCAAACTTCAAATACTTATTCCTTGTCATCAATTACATTTTATGTGACAATGTTCATAACTCTTGAAGCAATATTTACAGATTTATCTCTCTTTGAACTTAGGATTTTCTTTAAGAAATATTATAACTTCTTTACTTTTAAGGTATCTACTTCAAACTTCAAATATATATTTCTTATCATTACACACATGTTGTGTGACAAGGTTCATAACTCTAGCGTGTCTATCTCTAGAATTATTCCCCTTGATCTTGGAATTTATGTAAACAAATGTTATTTTTTTACTATAACGTAATACATAATTATACATAATTGATTTTTCTTTCATAGTTTTGTCCTCCTTACTGCGTCCAGTATTTTATAAGTCGAGCTTCGCTGTCTCCTGTGACAGCTCTCGTTTATCATCAAAAAAGGAAAGGTGTTTCATCCTTTAATGTACCGGACAATTTAATTACCCAATCATTCAATTCGAATGTCTTTACTCGTATATATTAATAAAATGGTCACCCTGAACGATTATGTGTTGACAACGTGTCAATGTATTTACTAATATTAATAGAAAAGAAAGTGTTTTTTTTATGGTTGCAATGTACAAAGTTACAACTTGTATGATTATGTTGCCATGATCGTTTCATGCTTTCTTTGGCATTGCATTCGTTAATTTGACATACTCATTATCCACGAAAGAGTTTATCATTAGCCAGAATTAAAATGAAAGTTTAGTGAATTAGCGAAATCAGATGCTTGCTATGATAACAAATTCTATATTATATTATAATTTCAAATATTGTTTTTGTATGATTTTTTTCCTTCTAAGATTGTTTAATTATTATTATAATGTAATGACTCTTGTATATTTCTACTACTGATTGGTAATTTTATGTGGGGATTTGATATTATGTCATTCCGAGGAGGCTATCAAGTTTGGGACCATGTCATCAAAATAATTTCATTCGCTCAAAGACATTAACGGAGATGCTTAAAAAAGCTATCTAGCTTCCTAAATATTCAACTTCAAACACATCCTTCTACTTTTAGGTCAGCAAAACATTTTGAAAAAAGTCATATCCCAAAATAAACTTTAAGTATGATAAAACTGTTTTGTATTGCAAAGTCTTCTAAATTTGTTTTCTAATCCATGTTTCCTCTTCGTGTAGTATATGTTTACTGTCATTGAATTATCTCTTGATAACTCAAATTATCTCCGCAAGTACAAGATGAAAGAAAGAAAAATTGAGAAAAGAAAATAATTACTCAAAATGCTGATGTAGCAAATTATCACTTAATGATTGTCTGGAAATTAGGTCCCTTTTTGTAATGCTTTTAAAATGAGAAGGTTTTGACAATAATTCGATATGGCGCCAAATTATTTTTTAAGAGGACTCAAAGCTTTCTAAGAGCTTTATCTTCGTCCAATTTTAACTAAGGTGGAACTTTTGTCGACATATTTGAAAAGCGAAATGCACGAAAACAGCACGTGCAAATCAGATTGCATAGTTGAAGTATACATAAAATTCGTTTGATTTCAAATTTCTGTTACACTTTTGGTGAGTATCAAGGTTATAAACTTAGCTGTTCAAATAAAAAAGTGTTTTCGACATTTTTCAAAGGTCTCCTTTTGCTCAGTATGCATTGATAATATTAATATTATTCGTAGTTCAAATAATGATAGTGTTAAGATTTGTTAAATGAAGACCTACAAACACTTGACAAATCCAGTAATTGTTGAAAACAAGTGCTTAAACAGTAACAGAAGTAAGTATTTCATTGCACTATATGTAAAATCATATTGAAACAAATTCTCTTTCAACAAAACACCTTTGGAAGTGGAATATGCTATAATGTTGTTGTTGTTTTTTTCGCTATCTATTTGACCTTTTCATCATAATGAAAAAGCTCTACTACGCATAATTTGCATTAAAATATTACATAATATTACTT